CAAAACATGTAAAGATCTCCTCAGGCTTGGAGTTCAATCAGGGAAAGAAATTCTTGGCACACACAGAAGAACACACAGAGTGATCAGCTCCGCGATCATACAGCTATGCATAGGAAAGGTTGACCTGCATGCATATACCTCCACCCCATCAACAAGGCTGAGACCAACAAATTGCCAATGTGGACATGGCTTGCAGACTGTACGACACATCCTCCTGGAATGCTGAAACTGAGCTGAAGAACGACATCAAGCGCATACTTTGCAACCCATCAATGGCAGTGCAAACAGCAAAAATGATCTTAAGGACAGGGCTTCTGAAATCAATTCCGGGGCAGTCCCACCCACAGTACTCCAATATCACTAGCATACGAATGTATATCTAGTAGATAGAAGTTGAGGAGGACCAAGCAAGACCTGTCAAGGCAGAGATACAGAACTGAGAGGAAGGCTACAAGTATGGAAGCTCGCGGGCAAGTAGCTGTTTCTACAGAGTAACCTGTTTGCCTGGGAACCTCCGCAGGAATTGCCCGCTTCTGAAGAGTGACTGTATCTGTATTTTAGTCATGCGCTGCATAGCTGCCAAGGGCAGCTGGGTTAGTCTATGAACTCAATCAATCAATCAATCCATGGCTATAGATAATATTACGGAGCTCACTAGAGAGATTAAGAAATTCCATCGGCATCTCGCAGATTGTAGGTTGTTGGGTGTTCGGTGTCAGAACAATTTCAAGCTGCAGGCAGAGCTTCAGTTAGCCTCGATCATTTTACTTACTGGTTCTCATGACTGGCAGCTCAACCAAGGGGAGCATCTTGGTATCCCGCCACGGCTTCACACATCGGTTGCCGAACTACGGAGTAGTAGAGCAAGGTTTGAATGACATCCATGAAACTAAAGCAGAGTTACTTTAGTGTTGCGGCACCTCATCTGCCTTCAGGAAACAAGTACTTGTTGTCAAGGGACTTGAATTTGAAGTACATACAATGAATGGGGTGAATATGGAGTTCTATCCACTCGATACCTAGGTATGCTGATTACCTAGACCTAGCCCGTACCCAACAGAAGGTACCTAATCAGCACACACCACGTGACCTATAACCGAGGGCCACTGCCTAACCCGATGAAGCCTAGTGGCAGCTACGCGACTTCTGCCTGTCGCCAACGCGGCTTCCCCAAAAAGTCTGCTCTGCTCCCTTTTCCGTTTCCAAGTTTTCCCTCGCTCCTTCCCAATTTGTTCGTCCCCAACGCCATTTTTTTTTTTTTTCAACTCTTCCCTCGTTCCTGCTCCCGACTGAGCTCCCTTGCTTGCTTGGGTGCTCCGAGATCCCTACAACAGTGAGCGAACTGACTACGGAATAACCTCCCTCATAGCCTCCTTATATTATAGTTGTCCTTTAGCCAAAGGGGGGAAAAAAAGGGCCTTGACTTAGCTCCATTTTCCGGCAAAACCGAAGGACAACGAAGAAAGACGAAAAAGGAGGGGAAAAAGGAGAGGGGTATATTTCTGTCTCTGCATTTATTTTTATCGTCCCTTACACATTTCCCGCACAATGCGTCTGTCATCAACAATCCTCCTCCTGCCAGCACTGGCTGCGGCGCAAGATCAGGTCCCGCTCAAGGCGCAGGTTCAAGGCTGGTTCGATAAAGTTAAATCCCTCCTCCCCACCGCTACCCCTGTCGTGAGCTCCGCTGCCGAATCTGCTGTCACAGCTGCCACCGGTGCCGGTGCGGGCTCCAAGGGCGCTGCGGCTAAGATCGTCAACAAGGAGGTTACCTTCCTCACTCTCGGGAATTGGGAATCATTACTGGCTCCCAAGGATGATGGCCCGGCTCGCGAGTGGTTGATTTACGTCACCGGTGGGAATAGAACGTGCGCCGGGCAGTGTAAGCAGGCGGATAAGGCTTGGGAGGTATGTGTGCTATTTATTCCGTTATAATCGGGAGATTATCAATATATATATATATACCTATATATCTATCTATCTATATATAGATATATCAAAAACACTAACAAAGCCCCACAGGACACCATCCCACTCTTCTCCGCCGACCAGACCTCCCCATCCCTCGCGAAGCTGAACTGCGAAAAGCAGGGCCTCCTCTGCTCCATCTTATCCGCCGGGGCGCCCGCCCGTCTTGCATTGGCAGGTCCCCGCGCGCGAACCGGGACAGCCGAAACCAAACACCGACGTCCACTTCGTCCGCATGAACGCGACGACCGTTGACGCAGACGCGATATACAAGGTACACTCCGAGAAGACCTGGGAGGGCAGGCCGGCGTATGACAGCACGTTCCACCCGATAGATGGAACGCTTGCGAAGTACGGCCTGAGTGTGCCACTGGCCCATGTTCTTTACTATGTGGGCATGGTTCCCAGCTGGCTTATCATGGTGGGCATTAGCTTTCTCAGCAGGACTTTTATGTAGGTTTATTTATTTTTATCTATTTAATTTTTCCCCACTCCCAACTTCGATTGTCAGCTGCTGATGATGGTATATTTGGATAGGAGCCGGCGATTCGCGGGCCCACGGCCTCAAGTTACCCCCGCCGCAGGCGCTAGGCAGTAAGAATGATGTATAGATGTGTACGTGTATTGAGTTCTTTTTGTATCTGCTTGGAAGCTTTGTATTACTCTTTCTATCTATTTCCATATCTGTTTTCTATTACCACTCGTACTATTTTACCATTATTACTACTTTATTAACAGCTTCCTCTTCCTCTTCCTCTTCCTCTTCTTTCCTTTTCCTGGTTTTCCGCGTTTCTTTCTTTATATTATGTGAGGATAACTCACTAGAGAAGGGTTATATAAATGAGTTGTATATAGCAAGGGAGGGTTTTCTTCCTTTTCATACGGGACATTGACTGATGGTTCATATGTCGTGAGAGAGATTTTTGAGGCGGAAATGCACAATTTAATGATCTTTTAGTCTTTTTCTTTATCTTTTTTATTGCTTTTCTTTCGGGTGTTTGATGTTGCCTGGTTTTCACGGGAATAGGAGCAAACCATTCCGTAAGCTGTGCAGATTTTGGTGGGTTATTTATTTTACAGGTGCATACGATTCAGGGAAGCAAAGTTGGCTAGCTACTTTATCGAGAAAGCTAAACAATAAAAAATGATACCAGCCAATTTAGTAGCTTCTTGAAAAATTACAACTTCTTGTTTTCTTTTTTTTGTTTTTCAATGCGTTGAGACGCCGCCCGAGAAGCCACCACCAGAAACGCCAAAAAGCTTGAAGCTTTCCAAGCTTCAAGTTATTTGCTACATAAATATTTTTAACCTCACTCACCCTTCTCTCCCTTCCTTCCACCCCCTCCTATTTATACCCCGGCAGCGCACCCTACGAATATCAACAACCGCCTGAATTGGGATTTATTTCCTTTTTTTTTTTTTTTTTTTTTTTTTTTTCTTCTTCATTTATCCCATAATGACCTCCCTACCAGCAGCGGAGCGTGTTCCCCCAAGCACCACCGCACTGGTCATCGCAACCGCCATCCTAGCTGGAGTTGTGGGCTTCTTTATTGGGCAGGGCGCGTCGTTGGGGGTTTTTGGATCGGGGTCGGGGTCTCGATCTGCGTCTGCGTCTGCGAGAGGAGGGGGTAGAAGGGATGGTAAGGAGAAGTGGAGCGATGAGGATGAGGAGGAGAGCGAGGCGGAGGAGGAGGAGGATGTGGAGGAGAGTGATGGACGGGGAGAGCTAGCTGCGTTCGAGGGGAATACGGAGGAGGTCAAGCTTGTGCTTGTTGTGAGAACGGATCTGGGGATGGGGAAAGGTTCTTTTTCTGTTTTGTTTACTTTCTTTGCTTTTGCGCCTTTCCTTTTTTTTCACTTTTTTCCATTTTTCCCATTTCTCTTATGAATCAATGCTGCCCATCCCGCGTTGCAATATTTAACCGGAAAAATATTTATTAATAAAATAATTATTTCTAACAGGGAAAATCGCCGCTCAATGCTCCCACGCGACTCTTGCCTGCTACAAGTACTACCTCTTGCGCGCACCGGACTCACCTATCCTCAAACGCTGGGAGCGCGGCGGGCAAGCCAAAGTCGCGCTGCAAGAAAGGAGCGAGGAGGAACTGCTGGTGCTTCAGGCGCTGGCTGTTAGTTTGGGGCTTTGCGCGCAGGTTATTCAGGATGCGGGCCGGACGCAGGTTGCCAGCGGCAGCCGGACTGTGTTGGGGGTTTTGGGGCCTAAGGGAGTTGTGGATGGGGTTACGGGGTCATTGAAGCTGCTGTAACATTTTATTTTATTTTTCATCCTATTTTTTCTCCGGTTTTCCGTGAGTGCTCTGCTTTGTTTAGATAGAAATATGGCGCGTGGGGCGGTCTGTGGTGTACAGGAGTTTTCACATTCGTGTTATTTGATGACAGGTATGGGTTTCATTCATTGGTTGTTTACGACACACCTCGCACATGGGATACCTTTGCAGTTATATAGACAGAATTGAAGAAAATAGAGAATGACATGAAGAGGCCGATTACAGGCTCTATTAAGTACGCTTCAAGCTCCGTGGAATATCATCCAATAAAAAAATATCATAACTGATGGGATTTTAGGCCAATCTCTCTTTCTTCACATCCTCCTCCTAGACGAGATGAGCTAGCCAGAACTAAACAGTCGAATTAAATAATTATATGTTGGCAGGTCATGGTTTTTCCCTAACCTCATCAGCCGACGGCCACAATCCCTTCCCCAAGCAATTGGAAAAGGGACCAAGATCGGTAAAGGGAGGTGGAATATGACGCCCTCAGAAGGAACCCAGCCACCTTACCGAATTCACCAGCCCGTCGAAACGGGGAGGGAACTCAAGGCAGAGTGTTAAATTCCCTTTCACACAAGGCAAAAAGGAAAAACTGGGCCGCTGAGGTTCTCTCTGAGATCTGTCGACCGGAAATTGACACCATTTGAGGGGTAATCCTTGATGGCTCCATGAATCGTCGAGCTGTCCAGCAATAACAACCGAAACACAACCAGAGCACGAATACTCTGGTTGGATCAGGACTGCTGGACACAGATCTGGGTTTGTTGTGATGAGGGAGAAAAAAGGAGAAGAGAAACGAAAGTTCTCAAGATATTTTTTTTTTTGTAGCTTGTGGAGTGATAGACGCTAGACCCGTTTTGGTTCGGACCGGATTTTGGTAAAATTCCGGAGTTGGGAGAACTTTGTATCGCAAAGAGATTGTACGGTTTGTTGTCAAAGTTGACAAGCTGTTTTAGATATCTCTTTGTGCCACGTTTTGTCCGTATATCCCACCGGAAAAAAAAGCGTACCTGTCGATTTTCCTTAAGCAGTTATGGCAGATGCTCTGTCTATTGAGCAGAATAATAAGATCCGAGTCGCTCTTGGCCTGAAACCTCTTCCAGTCCCCGGCGCCACTGATAACAACGACGGGCCCGTTTTCAAGCCATCGAGAGATGGCAACGATTCAGATTCCTCGGATGACGAACCGGCAAGCACGTTAGAATCGCGGCAGGCACAGGGATACGACAACTGGAAGAAATACCAAGATGAAGCTGAGGCGAGGAAGAAGCGCCAGGAGAAACTGGACGCTATCAAGCGGGCCCGTGAAAAAGCTCAGAAACTGGTGAAGCTCGAGGGCAAGGGGCTTGGCGAGCTCGATTCCGAGGAGGCTGCTTTGGATACCAAAACTTGGCTGAAGCAGCAGAAGAAGCGGCAGCGGAAGGTCGAGAAGGAGCGCGCAAAGAGGCTGGCAGAGGAACTTGCCGAGAGGGAGCGGATTGTGGAATATACTGCTAAGGATCTGGCGGGCGTGAGGGTTGGGCATGAGCTAGGTGATTTCGAAGCGGGAGGGGATCAGATTCTTACGCTTAAGGATACCACGATCGATGAAAATGAGGAGGAAGGCGATGAGTTGGAGAATATCGATTTACGGGATCGGGAACGGCTCAACGAGAGATTGGCTTTGAAGAAAAAGAAGCCGTTGTATGATCCTAATGATTTCGATGGATCTGGTCCCGGTTCTATTCTGGCGCAATATGACGAGGAGATCGAGGGGAAGAAGAGGAAACGGTTTACATTGGATGCTAAAGTTATAAATGAGGAAGAGCGGATGGCCAAGCGGCAGGATGTGTCGTCGAAGTTAAAGGCGCAACCTGTCAACCTCGATATCATGCCCGAAACTACAGCGACGCCATCAGACTACCAGGAAGCGACAGACATTAAAATCAAGAAGCCGAAAAAGAAGAAGACAAAATCTACGAGGCGAAAAGCGGTGGATGAGGATGATATCTTCCCAACTATAGAAACTACAGATATTCCGAATGGCGGTACTGGTGTGCAATCCAATGGAGATAATATGGAAGTGGATTCAGTAGCTCCCAGTAATGGACTTGACACCCTGCACCCCCAGGCAATCAGACAAGGACATATCTTTCGTTGACGATGAGGATTTGCAAGCATCGCTAGCGGCGCAGAGACGAACTGCATTCAAGAAAAGGAAGAAGGTTCGCCCGGAGGATATCGCAAGACAATTGCGAGAAGAGTCGGAGCAAGCGCAGAATGGGATGGATTTGGACAATGCGAATGGTGAGGATGACGGTCCTGGTCTGGTTATCGATGAGACATCTGAATTTGTCGCAAACTTGCAGCGCCCCACACTCCCTGATCGTCGCCAGCGCTCAGTCTCACGGCCGAAAGAAGCATCTCCTGAAGTGAAAGAAGAAAGGCACGAAGATGTAGATATGGATATGGAGCGGTCGTATAATGATATTGAAGATGAAGAGGATCTCCAAGAACGCTTGAAGAGAAGCGATACCACGCCAGCTGCTGATATTACCGCTACTGGATTAGAAGAGGAATCGACACTTGACAAGGGTCTCGGTGCTACACTCGCCATGCTTAAACAACGTGGACTGGTAAAGGAATCAAATGCGGGCGAGCTGAACACCCTCCACCGTGAGCGCCAACGATTCCTACAAGAGAAGCAACGGCGCGAAGCGGAAGCAGAGCGTCGCGCTCGACTTCAGCGAGAACGCGACCGTGCCTCGGGCAAGTTGGACCGCATGACCGCTCGGGACCGGGAGGAGTACGCACGGCAGGAAAACAAGCAGCGCGATCAGCTAGAGTCGCGCCAGATGGCCGAGATCTTCAACCGCGAGTATAAGCCGGACGTACAGCTGAAGTATGTGGATGATTTTGGTCGATTGATGGACCAGAAAGAGGCGTTTAAGCACCTTTCGCACCAGTTCCATGGCAAGGGGAGCGGGAAGATGAAGACGGAAAAGCACCTGAAGAAGATTGAGGAGGAGAAGAAACGGGAGGCGATGAGTACGTTGGATAGTAGCCAGCATACGGGAATGAATAATGCGATGGGGGCAACGGCGAGGAGGAATCGGCAGGCTGGGGTTCGGCTTGGGTGAGGGGTGTTCTAGTAGGCCGATCATACATGTATATATAGGTATATTATTACCATCGAGTCGTTATTTATTACGGCGTGATTGTCTAAGATTGCGTCTTTGCTTAAACAAAGAGGTTAGTTACAATGAAAAACATGATGAAGCTGGAGATTGGCAATTCTGCTGGCCCGGCTAGAGTGATATTATTCCCTTATATTTTGCTCTTCACAAAGAGATCGATGGTCATGCTTGTCTTCTTCCTCTCTATCTCTCACTCCTATTACTTCATACATCAATCGCATTCCAGGCGCATCTCCCACTTAATTGTAATCAATATCTGCTCGGACAAGATCTGAAGTCACAAGCGGTCTACTTTGGAGGGCATATCTGAATGTAACTGACTCCGGACACCAGGGCATGATGTGAAAATGAGACTCCTGTCAAGCTGGCTGCGAATGGGAACAATAATTTATATATCTCTATATAAACATATCATCATTATTCTTCTCCGCCCCTTAGCCGAAACAGCCGTGGAAGATATCATGTTTTTTATCTCAATAACAAACAGCCGAACTTAAACCTACCCCTGACATATCGGCCAGGCTCGTCGCCAATCACAGCACCCATGCCGTGCATCACAGTATGCAGTATGGAGTACGCCGTGTATGCAACTGTTGATTGATCCCTGGCTTGATGCTTGCAGAATCCACATGTACTGCCCCCTGGCCATTGGTAGTAGGATTCGGCATTCGAAAAGGCGAAGGGGATTTTTGTGCTTTCGGTGAGAAAGAAGCCAAAGGAAAAAGCAATTCCTGAAAGCTGAACTGTAACTGGCTGAAGATACAAAAGAGTGGTGGCTTTTTTTTTTTTTTTTTTTTACTCCAAATAACTATCGAAGTTCCTTATTATAGAGACAATTGCCATATCGTTTGTTTCCACAAGCCAATATAATAATAGTAAATTTTCTCTGACTCACTCCGTATCAACTCCCACCCGTTTTGATATTTTTTGCGGAGTTCTTCGTGGATAATAGATCACTCAATACATTTCCCTCAGTCCGTGTGTCATCTTCCTGCAATCCGATATCGCCATGTTGTCCACCCTGAGAGTCGCCAGCCAAAAGGCTGCGACTCGTGATGTTGCCCTGCGGATGTTCGCTGCTGGTGCTCGTCCAGCTTCCACCTGGTCCAATGTGCCCCAGGGCCCTCCGGTATGGTGAAATTTTGCCGGTTGGCACCAAGCAAGTCTTCGCTGACCGTGCGTGTCGCTGCTAGGATGCGATTTTGGGCATCACGGAGGCCTTCAAAGCGGACACATTCAAGGACAAGATCAACCTCGGCGTCGGGGCCTACCGTACGTATACTGTATTTCCATTTCGTTTTTGATCCTCCTGTGGATGTTAGATGCTCTACTGGAATCCATTGACTAATTCGAATTCTTTTTTTCCCTTTGCCTAGGCGATGATCAGGGGAAGCCATACGTCCTCCCTTCCGTCCGCGCCGCCGAAGAAAAAGTGATCAATTCGAACCCTGACAAGGAGTACGCTGGCATCACTGGTGTGCCCTCCTTCACCAAAGCCGCCGCCTCTCTCGCATTTGGGCCCTCTAGTCCCGCCGTCAAAGAAGACCGTATCGCCATCACCCAAACCATTTCCGGCACCGGCGCTCTACGGATAGGCGGGGCCTTCCTCGAACGTTTCTACCCGCACGGCAAAAAGATCTACATCCCCACCCCCAGCTGGGCGAACCATGCCACCGTCTTCAAGGACTCCGGTCTGCAGGTCGAGAAGTATCGCTATTACAACCAGGACACCATCGGCCTCGACTTCCAGGGCATGATTGCCGATATCCAAGCTGCGCCTGCCAACAGTGTCTTCTTGCTGCACGCCTGCGCACATAACCCCACGGGCATTGACCCGACCCAGGCGCAGTGGCGCCAGATTAGCGATGTGATGAAGGCCAAGGGGCACTTTGCTTTTTTCGATATGGCCTACCAGGGCTTTGCGAGTGGGGATACAGACCGCGATGCGTATGCGCTCCGTCATTTCCTGGCTGAGGGGCATGGAGCTGTGCTTTGCCAGAGCTTTGCGAAGAATATGGTAAGCCTCGGAGCACATATGCCCCCAGAAGAGGGATCCTAGGGAACCAAAATTTTCTATCTATCTTTCCCTGGAGGCCAGGGGTCCTGGTGGAGAGCTTCGGCTAAAGATTTTTAAAACTGTTGCTAAAGTAATTTCTGTTCTCCTGTTAGGGACTATACGGCGAACGAGTCGGCACATTCTCCGTCGTCTGCGAGTCTGCTGAAGAGAAGAAGCGCGTTGATTCCCAGATCAAGATCCTCGTCCGTCCCCTGTACTCCAATCCACCCATCCATGGCGCCCGCATTGCCTCGACGATCCTCAATGATCCTAAGCTCAACCAGCAGTGGCTTGGAGAAGTGAAGGGTATGGCTGATCGCATTATCAAAATGCGCGCACTCCTCAAGGAGAACCTCGAGGCGCTGGGCAGCAAACATGATTGGAGCCATATTACTAGCCAGGTATGTTATTCCCACTCTTTCCTTTTTTTTCCTTTTCTTTTCTTTTTTACTGGCAAGGCTGGTTGTATGCTATAAGCGGCTGCAAGGCTGACGATCGTACTATTAAACCAAACGGTATAGATCGGAATGTTCGCATATACAGGCTTGAAACCCGAGCAGATGGAAAAGCTTGCTAAGGAGGTACGTTTCCATGCGTGGATATCATATCCATATCTCAGATCATCTCCCCCCACAGAGCCCCTTCTTCTCTCTGGGAAGCACAACTAACGTATCCCCGCTGTTCCCCCTTATATAGCACTCCGTCTATGCCACCAAGGACGGCCGAATCTCGGTTGCTGGCATCACCAGCGCCAATGTCAAGAGATTGGCCGAGTCTATCTACAAGGTCACCGGATAGAAACGAAGCTTTGAACATGATGATAATAAAGACATTGTTTCTTGCTGTTGTTTCTGAAATATTTTTGACTGGCCTTGTTTCCAACAGTGTGTGCCGTCGCATAAACCTACCCCTCTCAACTGTCCTTTTACTTTCTCTTTCCTTGTTTTATTCATTGCGATTTTGGTTTTCCCCTTTTGTGTGTATTTATCTGTCGTTTATTATCTCTCTGTCTCTCTCTCTCTCTCTTTTATTTTTGGTTTATCTGCTAGGTCTTGCTTCGTGGCGATGTATTAGTACATACGTTTTGTGTGAAATTCCAGTATCGACTGCGTAACTATAACAACCTATATGGGGCACATTACATTGCAATCCTGTATGAACTGCCCACACTGATGTGCAGTCACCCACTGTGCCATAGAAACACCAGAAATACCGATCTCATTACCCATTGAATAGCAGCCGTTGTTGTATTTCGGTATGGACAGTTACCATTTATGTTACCGTACGGAGGTCTGGCAAATCCCGCCGATGCTGGCTTCTGATTGGCCATATCGGTACCGGCAGGACTTCCACGGTCGAAACAAGCGTGGGGACGAGAGGTACCGTGCGGATACCTCTATCTACAGCGTCCTATGGCTGGCCAACAGGGTACCAACGTTGTATTTTTTGCATGTGCAAATACTCCGCAAACCTCGGGTTGGACTTCTTCATTTCCCCAAAGAGTAATAAAATAAAACCATCGTCTCTGTGCTGTTTGCTGCTGTTGAATGATCACGCAGAGTCCTCTCATAGCAGAGGCCTTCCCAAAATGCCCTCCTCTGCGGTTTTTCCTGTCGCCCTTCAGAACAAATTGAGGTCCACCAGCAGGTCCACCTCGATCATCTTTTCCTCTACAAGCCTCAACCTGTACGTATATATATCCTCTTGAATGATTCCTTCAATTCCACAATTAACGCGCCATCAGAGTCCGCAATCTTGTCTTCTTTCTCTTTATTCTTCGCTTAGTCCGCAGATCCTTCTACACCGTCCGCGGCCATGGACTCATTGGCACCGTTTACAACGCCTGCTCCTATATGCGCCTCATATTCTACTCTCTCTACCTCCGCACTCCCGGCGTCCGCAGAAAGGTCGACAAACAAGTGTCAACCGCCCTAACAAAGTTGGAAGCCAAGCTTGTTCCGCAGACCCCTGGCATCCTTAAAAACCCTAGCCTGCCTAAGCAGGGCTGGAGTCATGGTCACATTCGCGCGGAACTAGATAAACTTGCTGGAATGGAGCATACCAGGTGGGAGGAGGGAAGAGTGAGCGGTGCTGTTTACCATGGCGGGGAGGATTTGATTGGACTGCAGACGACTGCTTTCCACCGGTTTGCCGTTTCCAATCCAATCCATCCTGATGTCTTTCCTGGTGTGAGGAAAATGGAGGCGGAGGTGGTGGCTATGGTGAGTCCTGGATGGTTTTTACATCGTCGTTCACCTTCTAAGTCTTGATGTATGCGCGTAGGTGCTTGGACTATTCAATGCGCCGGAAGGCGCTGCAGGTGTGACGACTGGTGGAGGCACTGAGTCGATCCTCATGGCCTGTTTGTCTGCGAGACAGAAAGCCTACGTCGAGCGACGAGTTACGGAGCCAGAGATGTAAGCTCTTCAATTCCACCATTTTCAAAGATCCTTGCGGGTTCTTTTTCCTGCTGGGAAAACTAAATTTATTCTAGGATCATTCCATACACGGCCCATGCGGCTTTCAATAAAGCGAGCCATTATTTTGGAATCAAGCTTCATATGGTCCCTTGCCCCGCTCCCGACTACAAAGTCGACATTCGCGCAGTCCGCCGCCTCATCAACCCAAACACAGTCCTCCTCGTTGGCTCGGCGCCAAACTTCCCGCATGGCATAGTCGATGACATCCCGGCCCTCTCCCGCCTAGCCCTCAAGCACAAAATCCCTCTCCACGTCGACTGCTGCCTGGGTTCCTTCGTCATCGCCTTCCTTAAACGCGCCGGCTATCCCTCCCCTTACGAGGAACAAGGCGGCTTCGACTTCCGCCTTCCAGGCGTCACTAGCATCAGCGCTGACACGCACAAATACGGCTTCGCCTCCAAGGGTAGCTCCGTCGTCCTCTATCGCAACCGCACCCTGCGCAGCTACCAATACTTCATCCTCCCCACCTGGTCCGGCGGCGTCTATGCCTCGCCTTCCATGGCCGGCTCGCGGCCCGGCGCCCTCATCGCCGCCTGCTGGGTCAGTCTCATGGCCTTGGGCGAATCCGGATACATCGACTGCTGCCACCAGATCATGGCTGCGGCCCGCACGTTCGAACAGGCAATCCGCGAACATCCGGCCCTCTCCACCGCGCTCGCCGTCATAGGCAAGCCCATGGCCAGTGTCGTCGCGTGGCAATCTGCGACGCCAGAAATCGACATCTACGACATTGCCGACGCACTATCGGCTAAAGGCTGGCATCTTAATGCGCTCCAAACCCCGCCCGCGATCCATGTGGCGTTCACGGTGCCCACGGCGGCTGCTGTGGAGAAGCTTATTGTGGATCTTGTCGCTGTTGTTGAGCAGGAAAAAGCGAAGGTGGCGGAGCGGAAGAAGCTTGGGCTGAAGGTTGAGAAGGAGAGGGGTGATGCGTCGGCACTGTATGGGGTTGCGGGGAGTATTCCGGACAAGAGCATTGTGAGTAGGCTGGCGGAGGGGTTTTTGGATACGTTGTATCTTGCTTGATTCTTTGAAAAAGAGGAAGAAGAGCAACGAAAACAAAAATTGTAGGCGGCGTGGGCCGTCGCGGAGTTAATTATGGTATGTGGTGCCAAAGAATGGAGGGGAAGAAACATGAATTGAAGGTTTCAGGGGTTGTATATCAGAGTCGGCGTTTATTCCCTTTCTGTATTTATGTCCTCTGTTAACCCCCCCTCTCACTGCTTGAAGAGATCTACGCATGTGCGTCCTATCTCCTGACTTGATGGCTGTGTGTTCATTTTTTTCTGAAAAGTATGAAGTTTGTATATATTCCTACGGAGTAATAGTTCAGGTGTTTTTTTTTTTTTTTTTTTTTTTTTTTTTTTTCACTTGTCAGTTTCCACCCTATAACGGTTTCAATAAAATATTCCGCTGTCTCCTTTCTCATAGCGGGAGTTCAGAATTACGCTGGTCTGATGAGGGGGTATGTTTGCCGTGGGGGTATAATAGAAATACTAAATATTTGGTCAAGAATATACATGTATTGGTAATCTTAGCAGTATATCAAACAGTTCGTTGTCTTGAATTACGTAGCAATGGGAGAATGAAAAGCGGTAGTTCGATCTAATAGTATACAAAAATGTACATACATGTACTGTACATACAAAAGGCTGGGGTGGGGTGGGAGTTGGATTGAGGAGATTCGTGAATGTTGGCACTTGCGGCATCCGAAAGACATGGGAGGAAAATTCCCTGCTTCCGTAAGATCGGGAGCGGGAGTGAGAAGTCTTCATATATGAATGATAGATCGTGGCCGGAATGAAGGAACACGAGATGGGATTTTTCCGCTCTCGTGCCCGCGGCCTCGTCAGCTAAAGTACGTGGTTGTCGTTGTTGTGGACTCGCTCGCATCGCTAATATGGGGCGTTCCTAACCCATTGACCAGCTCCCAAAACGAAACAAACAGAATATCTATACATATAAACGAAACGGGAATTAAAACAAACAGCCCTTCCCAAATCATGCCTCTCTCTTCATCCTAAACACCTCCTCTGCGGTCTTCTCCACGTAATATCCCGGATCCGGCTTCCGCTCCAAATGCACCTCTAGCTTCGTCAGCGGCTTCTCAACCTCCCGCACCGATACCAGTTCTTTCACCTTCATGATCTGTCCAGCCACGTCAGGCGTTACGGGGTAGAAAACGGTTTGCATGCGTTTTTTGAGACCGAGGGCCATTAAGACACCTGTTGTTCGTCGGGGAAGGCCGATGGCGGAGCGGATGAGGGTGATGCGGAAGTAGGTCATTTTCTTATGGTGTGAGAGCGGAGTGGGGGAATTGTTTTTCGAGAGAGCGGGCGGGACGCTGAGTAGGCGGGCGTATGGTTGTTTGTGTGTGAGCGCGCGTGCTGCTGTGTGTATATGGATTTTGTGTTACTCGTAGGTCTGTCACATAGCAACCGTTATGGTTCGTTCCGGCCGAGGACCAGGAGGTAAAAGGCGGGTTTGCTTGTCGGTGTGTTGCCCCCCCTCTTACCCTGAGTCAAAGGTCCGTCCTTCAATTTCCTCCTCCTTTCACACGCAACAGAGAACGTCGCTCCAACTTTGATTCTCCAGTGTAAAGTTGGCGTGTCCGTTTCCCTCGCTTGCAAGTCGCTGCAACTTAGCTTCCCCCCAGAGAACCCAGCTCGCTTCTTGTGCGTTTCACAGCGATTTCACGCCTTTCTATCCCCAAGCCTAGTCAAACCCAAGGACTTTGTTCCACAGGTATGACACAAGTGGGATTCCAGTTCCTTCGCTACCAGCACGGATAAATCCACCCGAGCAACCCCAGACAGAGCGAGATTATCTGAACCCAGTTGCTTTTTACAACAGATACGCTGCTGCGATGATTCAAACAAATGCGGGATTTCTTTTTCACCTTGTATATTTTCACAATTCCCCAGCAGAATTGATCTGTTTCAACGTGCTTGAGTCCCTCTCTTACCAATTGCCTTGTTGATATTAAAAACCAACGCTGTCTCGTGCCACAAAACGAAATATTTCCCGCGGACAATCGTTGCTCCGAGGCCATGCCGGTCCGCCAAAAATTACCGCCAAATGTGGCTGGTGACGTGGCCTCATCCGGCAGGTTTTTCCGCGCCAGCATGTGTCCGGACGCCACATTTACTGTGGCGCAGCGGGCCGCCGCTATCGAGCAACATATCAAGAGCAATAAGGGCAAAGAGACAACTGTTCCGGCTAAACAAGGCAGTGAAAAACTGCAGGATGGGGCGACTGCGAATGAAACGCCCTTGACGGGAGCAAATGCGGCACCGGAGAATATATCGTCAAATGTCTCGTCGATTGATTCTGAAACTCCGACGCTACAGTCCTTGACCCCTGATATCGGGGCTAACCAACCTCTTCGTACGACTCCTACTACTGCTATCACCACTCCTATCCCTAGTGCAACCTCCTCCTCTACATTGCCGGTTCTCAGTCTACAGTCCTCTCCGTCAAAGTCTACGCTGTCACGCTTAGTAGCTATTGCGACTGTGAAACGCTGGCCAAGTCCGTCCTTTGAACCACCCGCCGCAATTGAAGCCTCCAACTCGTACCCTGTGTCGTCCGCCCTTGCATTTGCAAATGCGCCGTCCCCTACAGACACAAAACCCATAGCCGATTCGACGCCATATTCGCTTTCTTTATTACGGCCTAGGCCTGAACCTGATCCCCCTGCGTTGTTTCCTGCACCGAGTCAACCCACAGGGCGCAACTCCACGCCAAAACTGCCCCATAAACCAAACATAGTGCTTCAGAAACCAAAAGCGATGGTAGATGACAGTAACATCGATGGCGGGGTTGCTATGCCCCGCCTAGAAGATCTTCTGCGTCACCCGGAAGATTTAGATAAGATTCCGGCTCTGAAGGCCGAATATTCGAGAAAAAAGGCGGCGGTGGATGCACAGCTTCGGGAAGGATTGAGGGACCAACTTGAAGCCGTGCAACGGAGCATAAGCCAGCTTACCGAGGGTCAACGGCATGTTTTGAAACCAGAGATGAACTGCAGGGTATAGATAAACTATGTGCAGAGTCTCAAGGAACTGTTGGGGATTTCTCGCAAATAGACAAGTTAGCTAGGATACAGCGGAATTTCGAAGCTACGATAATGATGAAGAAGGGGCTGGAGAGCTTCCATAACGATCTTACCGAAGTCGAGCGGCTGTTGAGAGAGGATGACCAGGACCTTGAAAATCAACCGAATTTGCTCAATGCTCATATGACCATTACCAGGCTGAGGGATTTCAGAGACGAAGCCATGGATCAAATTCGGAAAGCGCGGGATAGCAGTAACGAGGCAACTTTGGTTGAATGGTTTCAGAGGCTTGATTCTGTGATAGAGTGGTTCGATGATCACGTTGGAACTGCAATTATGAACCTTATCCCATTGGTACAGACAGACAACCGGAGTATGGTAGTCCGGCTGGCTCTCATTGTTATGAACGAAGAGAAGAACGATTCCAAGGTTCGGGCTTTGCAGGAAGCCCAAAAAGACCACAAGGCACTGGCGAGCCGGTTCAAGTCTATGAACCTTGGCCCTAAGACCGTCAGGGGCTATAAGGAGAACTTCCTCAAGAGTATCGAGCTTTATGCGCAGACTCAGTTTGAGAAGTCTAAGGAGACTTTCCTTGACGATCCAGAGAAGCTAGAGAAGAGCTTTAAGTGGTTCTTCAATGATTTGTTTACTGTGAAACAGGGCATGCAGTCTCTTATGCCGAAGAAGTGGAAGATATACAAGGTCTACACAAATATCTATCACCGAATGATGCATGACTGGCTCATCGAGTTCGTCGATGACCCTGAGCTCCCCACGGCTAATATGCTTGCAATCATACATTGGTCTGACAAGTACTATAAGAAAATGGCGAAGCTGGGTTGGAAACAATCAGACCTTGTTCCCAACGTTCTGGATGACCGTGAGGGTGAGCTTGTCCGGGATTGGCGGAACCTCATTATCAAAACGTTGGATGAGTGGATGGAGCGGATGTTTGCAACTGACAAGAAATCATTCCTTGAACGAGATATGGATGCTTTGGATACTAATTCGGAAGGATACTTCCGTACAAAGACACTTGGAGATATGTGGCGAATGATCCACGAGCAGCTCATGGCCGCGAGCTATTCTGATCGAACAGATGTCACGGAGGGGGTTATAGACGCCATGTTCCGCTCTCTGAAGACTCGACAAACCACCTGGCAAACCGTCCTTGACGAAGAATGCGCACGCTACAAAAACCCCACTACAGATCAGTCCGAGGGACTGCAGCAGCTTCAAGACTGGCTCATCGCAGTTGCCAACGACCAAATTGCCTGTATCGACGACCATGACGAAGCCTCGGGCCAACTGGGCTACCTCTCGCGCTTCAGCCGTGACTTCGAACCGCTTGTCACGCCCAAATACCTCTCATCCCGTGCCACTATGGAGCTCGACAGCCTGCGTGATGGCTATGTTGATCTCAGCACACATTGCATAAGCCTCTTCATCGACCTAATCTTCACAGTTGACTTCCGCACCACGCTACCGGACTTCTTCACGCAGAAATGGTATGGCGAGTTTGCTGTCAAGCGCATGATCTCTACCTTTGAAGACTACATGTCCGACTATAGCGCCGTGCTTCACTCAAGTCTCACGGATATTCTCATTGAGGAGCTTTCCGACGAGCTGCTCGTGCGCTACTTGTCCGCTATCCGCAACAAGGGCGCCAAGTTGCGCCGCCAAGACCCCTTCACGGATAAGTTTAAAGACGACGTCTTGACCGTGTTCGGGTTTTTCCAGAAATTCCCGGACGCGTTTGCTGCTACGATTAAGGATCGATGGCGGGTGGTCGATTGGCTTGTTAGGCTGCTGGAGGCGGAAAAGGCGGCGGGAGTCGTGGCTGTCTATGAGGCTTTTAAAACCGAATATTGGGACTTGCAGCTGTCGTGGGTAGAGGCAGTATTGAGGAGTCGAGATGATTTCGAGAGGTCGATGGTCAGCGCTGTGAAGGCTAAAGCTGCGGAATTATACGTGGAACGTGGGGTGGAAACGATTATGGGCAAAGTACGATGATTTTTGTGTCCCTTGTTGGGAGGAATATTCCCACTTTTTATCACTTTTATCATTCATACTCTCTGATGATTCAAGGGGCAACGTGGCTCTTTTCGGCCGCACGAAGTACAATTTCTGTGGAATTTTTTCCTCCTTGTCCTTTGCAAGTCCTTTCTTTAGCTGCCTTCAGGTATATATACCAACGGATTGGATAGGAGCTCTTTGGGAACATTTTTCAATAACATCTTGTTCTCTTTGCCTCTAACTGTTTATAAACAATTGATTATACCATATGTTCTAGCCGATATCATCGCTTCATATCACTCCACCCTATTCCATCCACATATGTATTGACATATATATACATTGCTTCAAAGTTTTCGCCCAAACGGTATAGTTCCCGCCACATATGACCGTATACCAAAACGCATCCTACTTAACGTAGCCTAACACCCCCATCATCCGACCGATCCCCATTATATCCATCTCCATCCCCTGCCACCCGCGGCGTAAATACCAAACTTTCCTCCGCAATACTAACATAGGCCTCACCCAGCAACTGCCCACCGTTCGCACCATCATCAGGTACCGGCTTTGCACCCATCTCGCAAATACAAACACGATCAATGGGAATATTCCTCGCCCAGACAAAGGGTCCCTTCTCCCTTCTCTCCCTCTTACTCTCTTTCTGCTTTTCCAGCACTTCATCCTCCTCCTTGTCCTCCCCCTCCCCTTCAACTTCCAACGATAAGATATGGTTCTTACCGTACGCACGCTCCTGATCCCAGCTATCTGAGTCGGTGTTCGGGGATTCATAATCGCCAAATTCCATCAGAAGCGGCCGCGCGTCGAACTTGAACGGTTCCTTGCGCTTCCCATCCCGCTGCTTGCGACGGGGTAGATAGACCGTATTGGCGATAGTGGCGTGTAGGAGGAGTGGACGTGGTTTTCGGGCATTTCGATCCAGCGACAATGAGGGTGCTCCGGCTTGAGTGGACAAGAAGGCTGCGCCGCTGTTGCAGTTCTTATCATCGTTGTCGCCATGGCCTCCCTCGAGGCCTTCAGAATCCGATCCATCTGCATGTGCCTTATTACAGCTGATCCTACAGGCTTGGTTCTTGGACCTAGGAGAGTTTTTGATCATCTCCTGCTCTATAAAACCAGCCTCGATAAATTTATTCCGCAAATTGACGCAGAATGGGTAGAGGCGGGATGTGTTATCGACGGGCTGCGCGTGGAGAATTGTGGCAGCCCTCGCTTTGGGAAGCGCATGTAGGGATTTTAAATCAATTATAAGCGGCTGTGGTGCCGTATCAGCAGCGATGGCATATGATATACCACTTTCACCGGCCGTTACAGCCCTCGCCTGAGCCTCCACATCTCGCAACATCGATTCAAGATCCAATGAGTGAAAGAATGCCAGCGCTTCCACTAGGCGCTCTTTGGTAGGCAGACTCATGACCCCAAGGGTCAGGTGCAAAGTGCCTAGTGGCCTCAGCGCTCCATTAGGGAAAAGGGGTGTGTGAGGGAGCTGAGCTGAAGCTCCTGCAAGAGCGGAGACAGGGGGAGGTACGAGTGGGATGGAATCCCGGAATTCTGCCAGGGATGAGACTAGCTGTGGAATGGAGGTTGGGTTTACCAATGGCAGGCAGAGGAAATGGGTTAAACGTGGTCTGCTAGTGATGTTCCGCATCTGCTGAGGTGGTTTCGCCCCGCCCCTGAGTGTGCTTCTGGGTGCCATGATACAGCTGTGGAGATGGAAGGCGGAACAGCGATTGAAAGGGCTGGAGATGCTGTTTAGTATATATTTAAAGTCTCCTGATAGGTGACGCTTGCTCATGTATGTAATTCTGGTAAATCGAGTTTCAGAGTCGCCTCTGTATATACATTTAGGTGTATGAGATTAGAGCCGCCCCTGTGTATTGAAGAGAGCGATGTAAGTTCGGCCACGCGGGTCTCAGGGGTAGTTTCTAAGAGATAACAATTAGGGAAGAGACAGGGAGCAGTCCCAAAGAAATATACAGATTTACATACATATTCCGTGCGAATTTATATGGGGCTTGACTGTCCCTTTCCTTTCTTAAAAGCGTGGTCCTCGTTGTACGGGACCAACTACTATTGAATAAATAGTAGATGCTATAGGAATGGGAAATTCAAATAGAACAAATCTTCCCACAAACACATGCACTTAGCATGTGGTAATTCCAAAAGGTGATAAAGATAGCTGCTGTTGTTGCCGTTGTTGCCGCTGATGTCTCGTCGATGGAAGTTTGTTGTGCCCATCTCGAACATCACACCACTCCGACACATAAATATCAGACCACTCCGGGCATTGCATCCATCCGCCACGGTACAATTTCCACATCCACCCCGCGTTCACCCTTACATGAGCTTACTACTATATAAACAAGACAAGATACTCCAATTCCTCTCAATTCTCTCCCCATCGCCATCTTGATCCTCCATCACAATGCTCCCCCGAACCTCTCGCGCTACCTCCTCTCTTCTCCGCACCCCAGCGGCCACTATCGCTCTCACTCCGCTCTCCGCTATCGTGGCCTCCGTCACTCCCCGCACCCAATTGCGTTCTTCAAACTCCAGACGACTACAACATGAAAGCCCAGCGAGAGCCTACTACCGCCAACTACACACCACGCCTTCACTCCGCAAAGGCATCACCCCCCACTCTTCCAACCCCACTCCTCCCAATCCCGAGTCGTCAAATTCAAATATCGCCGGTGGAGCGAACCATGTCACACAGCCAACACCGTTGACAGAGGAGCAGTACCGTGAATATGTGGAGGATTATTTTAACGTGCTCCTGACGAAAGTGGAGCAAATGCAGGAAAACGGGTCCGATGTTGAGGCGGAGTATAGCGTATGTATTTATACCAAGACGTATATATATGTGATCCGTTGCATTTTGGGATCCAACATAGCTTATAAGCTTAGCATATATCATTCCTATGCCATGTCTTCTCTTTCCCTCCTCTTATTTTCTCCCTGGACTGTTCCCATAACTTAAAATGTTTCAAATTTGTCCAGGGCCGGCGTACTCAACATCACTGTCCCCAGACGCTGGCGTCTACGTGCTTAACAAGCAACCCTCCCAACAAACAAATATGGCTCAGCTCGCCCGTCTCAGGGCCCAAACGCTACGATTGGGTTGACCAGGGAGACCACATGGATGAGAAGGAAGGCACACGCGAGTTCATCAAGGGCCAGTGGATATATCTGCGCGACGGCTCGAATTTGACCACCCTGCTGAACAAGGAGCTTGGTCTAAGCATGGAGTATGATATCTATGGGGAGAAGGAGGTTTAGGGCTTTGCGATTGGGGAACTGGTTGCCTGACTTCAGCTAATGTTATGTGGTTGCTGTACTTGTGTGTGTTATGATATGAGGCATGAGGGAGGAATAGGCTCCTGGCAATGGAGATGGAGATGGAGTTAGCCATCCATATCGTTGAATTTACGCATGCTGTGGAACCATGTCCCTGGAAGCGGATTGATTTTGTATTATATACATACTGTATATAGCGAGCTATCTCTGTATAGGTTGAATCGAGCGAGAATCAACATTGAAATTCAAAGGGACGATTGATGAATTGTAAGCTGCCCCAAACTCAAAAAAAAAAAAAAAAAAAAAAAAAAAAGCCCAACTATCATGATATATGTCCTAGTAGCTAACTGCCATGGTTTTTTTTATTTGCGTTCCCGCCTCCATGTTCTCTCCCTCAGATACGAACATAACCAGTTTCCGTATGACTGGAAAGAGCGCGGAGAGTATTCTCATAATATATCATGAAGGCCATAGCGTTGTAAGGCGAATGCTATTACACGCTTCCAATGTAGGAAGAATCGTTCAACCCGGCACCATTTTTCGTCTTCCGCTGCAACATGGGATTTCGTGTGACAGTCACAGAAAAAGAGAACAGGTTACTTGTGTCAGATCAGGTGCTGTTCAAGAACTATCCGTATTTAGTGAGATATCTCTCTTCCGTTGCATGAAGGCTGGATAGTAGGAGCACGCCATGCACCGGACATAGCATAGGATCCCAATGAATCCTATCGTATGTCGACTTATAGCCTTTTCTTTCGTTATCTCCCATCCCTTCTGTCTTCCCTTCCATGATTCGTAGCTGAGTTTCCTTGCTGGAAATCGGTAGAGAATGTGCTCTGTTCTGTAACTCCCCCGAGCGTAAACGAATATACATGGGTGTGCATTCTGCCCTTTGCAACATCCTCTCCTCATTCCCGCCCATGCTTTACGCAGTAATCGCGATAGCACCAGCGCTCGCATCGCTTTCTTTAGGCAGATCATCCTATTACAATTTCCAAAAATATCACACCGTTAGCGAATAAAGAAAAATAAATAAAGTAAAATAAAACAGCAAACCAAACATTTTCTGCTACCCCCCGCCCCCCTTCCCTCCCCCTCTTACTCCCCTCTTCTTAATTTCCCCAACAATTAATCTATTCCATCCTTTCGCCGTTTGGTCGACTTACCAAATCATAAATAACCCTAACCATCAAACTGCAACTGGGACACACAGCGATCTCCTCTCCATCACGCAGGTCGGCAACGCCGATCTCGAACCGGTCGCCGCAGGGACATGGGTAGTGGTAGATCTGTAATGTGGCGTCGTAGGTCATGTCTTCGATTTCAATTTCGTCGTAGATTGAGAGGGAGTCGGCGTCCGTCATAGTATTCGGACTATGATTGTGTTGTTTGTCGGTTGAATTAGTTCAAGGGGGGGGGGGGGGGTAGGTAGTAACTTGTATTTGAGGCCTTTTTCGTTGTGTACGGAGGCGGTATTTCGTCTATTGAGAAGGAAGCAAGGAGAGCAGGTAGTCGTTTTCTAGATGGCTTAAATAAGAATAGAGGCGATCTTTGAGAATAAAAAACTAGTCATCAGAGTTAGTTGGCAATCAGTCATGGACTTTCAATCTCATCTCATCTGGATATATTTTGCCGTTGCCAAGAAAATATTTTCTGCCGCGGAAGCGGTGAACAAGCCAAACTGCACACATGCAAAGCATGCCTCTCATAGAGCCAATAATAAAAAACAAATAGAGAGGTGTATCAAATACACTCCGTCATCATTCACCCCAAAACTCCAACCCTGAAAAGTGGCCCATTATCAGGCTTCAGGCTCCCAACCTCCTAATCTCCATCTTAACACCCTCAACCTCCTTGACCAGAGCTCCATACCTCCTTGCAATCTCCACCATTGCTCCTGGCTTCCCTGAACCATCACCACCACCACCCTTGTCACCTTCACCTTCCACAGCACCTGAAGCTTTTCGTCTTCCCATTTCCCCCATATCCGCCCGCTGGTACGCCTCGAGCTCTAACAACGCCTGTTCCTCCT